TTTTTTTTTTCTTTTTTTTAAATATTTTATATTCAAAATAAAATAATAAATGTTTAATGAAAATGTATTCTTGTTCTTTACTGCCTACATATAAATGTAAAGTAAATAAATGTAAAGGTTACTGTTCCTTACCAGAAATCAGTCTTATGGTTTAGAAATGACCGAGACATGTCAATATAACATAAAAAATGAACGTGGTTGAGTAGTTTACATTGATAGCTACTTGAGTTACCACCTGTTGCTTAATGTTTGAATTGGACACAAACGATAGTATCAAAAATGGAAATTTATGCAAAAGCTCTGTTTACTACACTAGCTAATATAAAAACTATCGATCAACACTTTTCAAGCTGATAAGCCTGAATGAATGCTTATTCAATCAAACGACACCTCTGCATTTTTGTTTACACTTTCAAATGGAAATGACCAATCAGGAATTCACCGGGGTTGTACGGACAAGGCCACGTAACGTTTCGCACGGCGTCTGATCTGTTTAGCATTAGAATATGTTTTTCTCCGGAGAGGCCTTGCTTGAAAGCGCAGCACCTCTCCTGGACATTCCCATCATACAGCAGACTCACAGAGACTGGGGCTGCATTTTAATGAGCGCACGCTGCCTCCACATTTGCTTTCTGCATTTTCACAAGATGAAAATGAAGACACAGGTGTATGAGCTGATAAAACACTATCCGTACTGCGTGAGGCTTTGTTGTACATGAGTCAGTGCCCTTCAATGTCAACATGAATGCAAGTCATGATGTTTCTGTGAGCAACACATCTATCAATTTAATCCTCTTAATGCAACAATTTCAATACATCACCGATGTGCAGCACAAAATTAGAAAAAGAGAGGGGAAAAAAGGTGATAAAAAGAACAGGAAGGTACAAGCAGAAGTGAAAGAGAGAAGTACAGAAATGCTAAGTGATATTTTCCAACCTGCAGATGTCTTGTACTAACATATATTAAAATTAAGAGAAAAGTAGTCTTCTTGTTCGTAGTTTTAAGCATTACTTGTATTATGCAGTTTTTAAAGAAACATATTCATTACATTTAAGCATATTTAGTGCTCACATTCACATGAGTAATACCCTTAGTGCATTACTTGTATTATGCAGTTTTTAAAGAAACATATTCATTACATTTAAGCATATTTAGTGCTCACATTCACATAAGTAATACCCTTAGTTTTTTTTAGAAAAGATTAATGTAAAACAATTTTTATGATTGTTAAAAATAGAATACTATTTTGAATATATATATATTTTTTAAGTTGAAAATACAGTAAAAACAGTAGTATTTTAAAATAGTATTACAATTTAATTATAAAATGAATAAATGTTTTTAATATTTGAATATATTTTAAAATGTAATTTATTCTCGTGATGGCAAAGCTGAATTTCCAGCAGCCATTTCTTCAGTTTTCAGTGTCACATGATCCTTTAGAAATCATTCTGTGCTGATCTGGTGCTCAATTATCATCAAATTATATTTTTTGGTTTAAAGGTGAATATGGTCCTAAAATGCTGACGGATAAAAAGACTGATAAAGACTATAAGACAAGCTCACCGGCACAGAATGCGTTCACATTTTCATCAAACTGGAAGCGGACCACCATACGTGCATGATCGATTATGTAAGTTTGGCCGTCCCAGGCACAGGCCACCACTTCCTCTCTCCCATCACACTGAATAAATACACAAAAACACAACAAACTATAATACACATCAGGTAGTGCAGGTTTTTGTATTTTTCTGGTAGCTAAACATTTATGAAACATGTACATAGAAAAGCTCTAGCATCATTTCTTTGCAGATGAAACTTGGTTTGATATTTTGTATGCAATGCAATAAACATATTTTTAAGTGTCATTTAACATCGACTTGGATAGTTTTTGGCGCCATCATCACACTTACAGTGACATCCAGCTTCTGGAGGGCAAAAAGCTGGTGGTCCACTTGCACAGACCACAAGAGCTTCTCAGAGCTGTCCATGAGCTTCAGCGTTCCTGGAACACCACCATTCAACGAAAAACAACCACAACAGCTAATGAAAAACAACAACAGCTAACCAATCAATAACATCAATCCACTCCTGTTCAAACAAAACAGCACTAAGGTTAAATTTGTGCTGTGTAACTGAGTGGCCGTGAAGAACAAGCCTACACTTTTAGAGTAAAAAGCCAATCTTCATACACACCCAGAGTATGAAGACACCCAGAGCCCAGTGACCAAAAAACACAGCGTGTGCTTTAGTCTGTCACACTGGGCTCATGTTCTTCTCCCTACATCAGATAACCTCTGACATGTGGTGGTGGACTAATATCTGGACTCACCGTCTAGTGTGCAAAGAGCAAACAAGCCACCTTTAGACGAATCATCCTTAGAACCTACAGAGAACGAAAACAACATCCTTCATTAAGTTTGTTGAAACTGTGAAAATGATTTGTGATTAGCGATGGACCGATATTAAAATAAAATACATCTAAAATACATCTTAATATAAATACATTACATACACAATTTCATATTTCATTTTTAGATTTTATTAAAATAAATTAAATGATTATATTATTTAGTTTATATAATTTGTTTAGTTAGTTATATAATTCTAAACATTTTATATAATTATAAACTTCTTTAATATAATTAAATATTAATAAAATAAATATATTATACACACATAAGAAAATAATTAAAATAATTGTATTTTATTCAAATAAATAAGCACATAAATAATATATATATATATATATAATTTATTTTTTAATAATTTGATTATTATTTTCATGTTATTGCCAATAAGCAACAAATGCAGCCATTAATTAAATTAGAAATTATTTACTATTTTGTCTAAGTAAATTAAAAATAACATAAAAAAGCTAGTCAGTTGTTTGAATTTAGACATCACAACATTATAACGTACAGGATGAAAATGGATATTCATTTTGAGATTTGCTAAAGAAAAATGGAACACCACCATTCAACGAAAAACAACCACAACAGCTAATGAAAAACAACAACAGCTAACCAATCAATAACATCAATCCACTCCTGTTCAAACAAAACAGCACTAAGGTTAAATTTGTGCTGTGTAACTGAGTGGCCGTGAAGAACAAGCCTACACTTTTAGAGTAAAAAGCCAATCTTCATACACACCCAGAGTATGAAGACACCCAGAGCCCAGTGACCAAAAAACACAGCGTGTGCTTTAGTCTGTCACACTGGGCTCATGTTCTTCTCCCTACATCAGATAACCTCTGACATGTGGTGGTGGACTAATATCTGGACTCACCGTCTAGTGTGCAAAGAGCAAACAAGCCACCTTTAGACGAATCATCCTTAGAACCTACAGAGAACGAAAACAACATCCTTCATTAAGTTTGTTGAAACTGTGAAAATGATTTGTGATTAGCGATGGACCGATATTAAAATAAAATACATCTAAAATACATCTTAATATAAATACATTACATACACAATTTCATATTTCATTTTTAGATTTTATTAAAATAAATTAAATGATTATATTATTTAGTTTATATAATTTGTTTAGTTAGTTATATAATTCTAAACATTTTATATAATTATAAACTTCTTTAATATAATTAAATATTAATAAAATAAATATATTATACACACATAAGAAAATAATTAAAATAATTGTATTTTATTCAAATAAATAAGCACATAAATAATATATATATATATATATAATTTATTTTTTAATAATTTGATTATTATTTTCATGTTATTGCCAATAAGCAACAAATGCAGCCATTAATTAAATTAGAAATTATTTACTATTTTGTCTAAGTAAATTAAAAATAACATAAAAAAGCTAGTCAGTTGTTTGAATTTAGACATCACAACATTATAACGTACAGGATGAAAATGGATATTCATTTTGAGATTTGCTAAAGAAAAAGGATTTTTCAATATAAAATTATGCTTTAGATGAGGGGGGGGGGGTTAGCATGCATAATTATACATCAAATAATGACTAATAAAATTAAACTTAAACAAATCTCAATAACGTTCAATAACGAACATGGTACCAATACATTGTGAATCGTTATTTATGATGTGAAAATGTTGGGAGAGCAAGTAAAAATCTGAACTACTAGTGACTGAATCTTATTATTTAATCTGCATACTTTATTCTGCCAGCTGCAAAGTTTATAAAGATATGCGTGCTGCGAGTAACACAGTACAGTGCCTCTGCAAATGCTGCCTATCAAATGAGTGGACACATTCTTGTTATGGATGCGTCCGGTGGTAAGATGAAGGACAACGTCTCTGGAAGGACATACACAAGCGGAGTTATTCCAAAAGCCAGTTCTGCTCTGAATTATTTAGCACTGCTTCTTAATTTGCTGGTGTTTTTTCAATTTGCATGTGTTTTCTTAAGTTGCAGCGCGTTGAGCTCTCTCGGCCACCGTACTTTAACCCTCATTGTGATTCTCTCACCTGCACTTCTAATTAGTGACCGTTGTTTTGTTTTGATCTCTCCGCTGTGTTTCCACGTGCGTCACTTATTTATGAGCGGCGCATGTGCAAAGCCGACCTCATACGTCATTCCCCCGGAACTGCTTCCAGTGTACAAGTGAGCGCATCACTTTGGTATTGGCGGGGATGTGCTGGGTGTAACTGGGCTTCTGCTCGTTCCCGATCGAACCGTCCTGCTGACTTGAGGAGTCTGATTTGGCTGCAGCAGCGCTGATATCAAACAGGTGAAACCAGCCCTCCGCACCAACCGCCACAACAAAGTTCTGCCAGTGCAGAAACAAAGCCATGTTACAAATGTGAGTATGAAGTATGAAAGATTTAACACTAACAAAATAACACTTATTTAAAAAAAAAAAAAAGAACCATGGCATGACAATGGTTTTTTAAATGTAGTTATGAAAAACAAATCTGGAAGGTAATGACCAAAAATAAATAAATAATATATATATATTATATGGTGATCATTAATTACAAATTACACTTATCAATTATTTAAATTAATTGATTATATATTAATAGCAAACTCCTCACCGATATCACTGATGAGCATCACTTTGGTATTAGCGGGGATGTGCTGGGTGTAACTGGGCTTCTGCTCGTTCCCGATCGAACCGTCCTGCTGACTTGAGGAGTCTGATTTGGCTGCAGCAGCGCTGATATCAAACAGGTGAAACCAGCCCTCCGCACCAACCGCCACAACAAAGTTCTGCCAGTGCAGAAACAAAGCCATGTTACAAATGTGAGTATGAAGTATGAAAGATTTAACACTAACAAAATAACACTTATTTAAAAAAAAAAAAAAGAACCATGGCATGACAATGGTTTTTTAAATGTAGTTATGAAAAACAAATCTGGAAGGTAATGACCAAAAATAAATAAATAATATATATATATATTATATGTTGATCATTAATTACAAATTACACTTATCAATTATTTAAATTAATTTATTATATATTAATATATGTTAAATAGTAATATAAATAATCAATCGATTAATATATTTATATAAGACATAGATATAGAGATAAGATATATAACAGTATTAATAATATCTACTGGTCTCACTCCCTTACCAATAAATGATTGAATAAATGTATTAATAATATCTGAAACTTAACTGATACTATGTAAATACCTACATGAATGCAGTGTTCACTAATCAATACAATGGTTTTATCGGCTAAAACCATCATTATACCATGGTACCACCAGCCCTTCCCTTGTAGAGGGAAGAAGAGAGAGAACGACAGTCTTACCCTTCCTTTGTTGCAAACATCTCCCACTCCAACACGTTAACTAGGAATAAACACAGCATCATTCATTTTCATAATCAAATATATGTCCTCGTGATCCAGGGCTTACAGTCATAATTTTTATAGATGTACAGCTTCCCACTAGTGTCTCCCACCACCAGCTCATTCAACTGCAGAAAAAACAACCACATCTGCTTTACCAATATCAAATAATAGTGAATATGAAAGCCCTAAAAATACTAGTCATATGACATGGCTGCAGTTATGATGATAAACCGAGTCATTTAAACTAACATCTGTCACAGATGCAAACACTTGGAACTAACCGAGTCGTTATCTGCATCTCCAAGACAGATGGCGTGAGGAAAGATTGTTCCTGTGTAGTCTAAACTCACGCGCTGCACATAACTGACCGAGCGCATGGCCTTTCAACTACAGACTTCTTCTTCTTCTGGTGTTTTATGGCGGTTCCATTTCCGGATCACTTCCGGAATCTACGCCACTTCCTACCATGCACTCTCCAGTCACAGATCAGCTGTTGCCAAACCGCCCTAACCTCTCCAACTACAGACTAACGACTACAATCTATTAAACAGCAGCTAAAACAAATCACATCTGAGCAACACTTCCCATCCAGTACAAACAAATGCACATGATCTGTTCGGGCTTCATCTTTTCAAAATAAAAGTCCGTGGTCACTGTGGTTTCGATAGTCTGTTTTTGTA